ACACCGATACACAAATTATTAAAATCAAAGAGAAACGAAAGAAAAACATTGTGTGTTTCAATCGGATTGTTGGCATACTGCAGTAATTTATAGTTGCTACAAATAACATTAGAATGATACCTATTTTTCTTTCTGGTATCATATTGCTTCATAACAAAATTCATTTTTGTGTTATTAAATGACCTAGTTAGAATTCGCAGACAGGAGAGAAAAAAATAAAACATTTCAATTAGCGGCCATTAAAAATCTCGTCAAAATAAAAGAGAGACACAACATAACATCATCACCAAAATTCTCAGTGTTACTTCCGCGATATAATATAAGTCTATTAAAACAATGAACAAGATATCCGTTACTATTAAAAATTATACGTTCTGGCACAATATGTCTCATGTCAACGTAAAGTGCTTGAAATATGCCCGTCGGTTATTGCACCGCTAATTTTGTTCTAACATTTCATCCTAGTATCTAAGCCGTCGGGCTGTTATTAGTCGCTCCGCTCTTAATAAAAGCAGATTGTACACTGCTTACATGTTCCAAAATAGTTGTAATTCTGCACATGTTTATGGTACCCTCGGAAAATTCATTCACCTCCTTTGTTTTGTAAACAAACATGTAGGTGCAGCTTTTATAACTGTGTAAAGTATAAGGGGGTTTTAGCAGCAAAAAATTAGTTCTCAAGATTTGAAAGAAGAAGCGTTCATGTACCTATTAGTTTTCTATTGTGTCCCGTATAACCACGACTGAAAGGTTAAAAAAAATATTAATTGAGTTTGTTGATACAAAGCAGAATTATTAGTAGTAAATAAGCGTAAATGTTATAAGTACTGTAAATAAGATCAATGGGCAGTTCATTCACGTTAGTCCATGTACCACACATTAATCCCGGGATGCGGTTTTACTTACATCCGGTAGTTCGCAACATGTTACGCTGAATCTAGGACACGTTTATAATGTGTTCTATTTAATGTTCATATTTTAGCTTTAATATTTACCAATCATTTTACTCATATAGACAAGTACATAGGTATATGTTTCCTGAAACAAACTTACTAATGTCAAGGAGGTTTCAAGATTTTTTTTTTATCGTAGGGCGGCAAATAGTCACGCGGATTACCTGGTGATAGCCAACGCCGTCCATGGACACTCGTTATACCAAAGGATCTACTACAAGTGTGTTACCGACCTCTTCTGGGTTATTAGGGATTTAAGGCGGCTGGAAATTGAGAATGAGAAGGATAAGGCTTAGGGGAACCTCATGAAACACAACATAGGTGTTACTTCACGTCGGTTTTCTATGAGGCCGTAGACTGCTCCGGTCGACCCAATCGTGCCGAAGCATGCCTATGCCACTCTTAAGACGTCCTTCTAAAATTACGCACGTTATGTGTCATATAATATATTTTTTCACTGTCTACCAATTGCTCTAGTAGCTAATCTTTGCCCGGCGCAATGCCAAATTGTATGATTTACAGATTTGGATCGCAACAGGCGCCACTTTCATAAACCGAGAACGCCAACGTTTTTCAAAGTGTGTCAAATGCTATTATTATGACGGCTGTGAGTGAATAGTGGACAATCAGATATTTATTTAGTTATATAAATACAGGAGAGACTTGTTGGCGCATGTTGTAGATAATGCAGAGACCCAGCTTTAGAGTAAACAACATTCGGAAGGAATTAGTTCTCTCACTTTAAATATTTAGCTAACTTGTCTTGTGTTAAAATATAGGCCAAGCAGTATATCGGACGTCTGCACTTGGCGCCAGAAACTTAGTATTCTGGAGCCTCTCCGGCTAAATCAGCGTCGAACTATTCACAAAAAAATGTTTAAAAATACAAACTCATTTGCATTTGCTCGAAGCTCTTGCTTTAATTCTTTAATACATACATACATTAGAAGCTATACATACATGCATTAGTTTATTTCAGTAAATGTTGCAGCGAAAGTATTTGCGAACTAGGAATGATAAATTAGTCGGTAAATCAGACAATCTTCACACAGATCACGTAAAACGGCTAGAAACGACTTCTTTTTCTGTACCTGCTTTACTGAGACTAAAGGCAATATCCTAGATGATTTCCATGGCAAATGGGGCGCTCACATGGTCACAATGACTCAGACCTCTTAGCAGCGTTGCGTTACAATGCAGAAAGCCTTAGAAGAACCAGACGCGTTGCTATAAACAAAAACAAAATAACAAATAATACAAATGCTCCAGTTTTATAACGTAACCAGCTTCCGCGTAGTATGTTGATAAAGTCTATATCCTATTCCGGGGTGTATCCTTTGCCTGTGCCAACTTTCATCCCAATCCGTCCAGCCGTTTTAGCGTGATTGAGTAACAAACATCCAAACATCGTTACTTTCGCATTTATAATATTAGTAAGATAGCCCTGACTCGCAATTCTTTATCTAAACTACCGCCAACTGTATATTTTCCTTCTAGTACAATATCTATCGAAATTGCACTATTTTACATATTGAGATTGTCATCTGACATCCACAAATACAAAATCATGTTACTTGATAAAATAATCTTCGTACATACCCACTCGATATTATTAAACATTCGTAATATCGAAATATCGATAAAATCAAAGCTGCAATCTGAGTGACGCTGACAGATTTATCGAGCAGCTTACTGATACCGAAAATAAACTTTTTCGTTTCCTTCATACTGAATGTATGTAGAAGTCATAGTTACAGTCAACATTTTCCTAGGACTTTGATGAATGACTTGAATGTATGAAACTAGATGTTGAGACGTAATTAATGCGGTTTTTTAGATGGTAAACAATCGTCGCCGCCCATGAAACACGAAATTCCGAGTGCGTAAGGTTTTGAATTTGAGGATTAGGAATGCAGGAAGAGCAGAATAATTGGGCCTTCGGTAACCTCGCTTACACGTCATTGTTTTGTTTCATTGTTTCACGCCATTAATCTTTGAGGCCGTGGTATCACGCCGCGCGCCAGTCAAGTCAGCTCCATCGTCTCGAAGCAAAGCTCTCCTACACTAAAATCAGTGCTTATATTGCTTAGTATTTTTAACCAACAGAACAATATAAAAATGTAGCTTCTACTGTTAAAGAACGAATATGTAACCTTCAGTCGTGCCTGTACAAATGCTCACCAATATTCCCGAAACTCTTACGTCAGCAGATTTTCAATTGTATTCCAAAGCAATAAAGTTGAAAATCGTTTCAATTTAGAATAACGTTGCGTCTGAGTTTATGTTATTTAGCAAGGAAATGTTTGTTACACATGTCCAGTGTATCCTGTGTAGTGGAGCTTCTGTCCGTCGTTAGTTTGTGTTCGCGTTGCATACAGTTGTTAGCGTAGCAGACGGCGCCTATCAATTTCACCAATCAGTCAGATTGATGGCGCGCGATCTATCAAGGGGATCTCATGTCGACAGACAAGAAATAGAGCATTAATCAAAATAAAAAATAAACCAATCAGACTTAATCGGCGCTGGTTCTTTTTTAAATTAAGGATTTGTTTTCAACTAATACAATTAGTTTTTTAAACTGATTTTGTTAATGGAATGTTCTGGTTTTTAATTGTTTACTTCATTGAAATACGATGCAGTTTTTAGTTCATTGGACGGGATTCTCCGTTTATATATTTAAAATAAACTTTTTGTATGAAAATCATGTCTTTCTGTTTAAATTTTGTACTTTTTCTTAGGTTTCCAAGTTGAGTAAAAGATGTGACCAACCACATATTTGGTACGGATCCTTGTCAAAATAATCAATGAATTCCTTTTCTTACAAAACTATAGTGTATATGGTACTGTACTACTGTGCTATAATTACTAAACGTGTGTGTATTATTTATAAAAACATTAACTCTGAATAGTTTCTATGGCGCGATTGAAATTGTCATGGACGACTCGCCGTGGAACGATGAGTGGTGTGTCGTTCTTTCACCGGGTTGAATTGAAACCGGGTGCCGTGACCCAGGCCTTGAGGAATTCGCATACCCACCATAATATTCATTTACTACCCCTACCTACCTACCTGTTCCTGTCTACCCCTTCGGCAGATAAAAGATGTCATGTTTACATGGCTCTCGTAGAGTGGATCATAACCCCGTTACATAAGTCTTTATGTTCCACTAGCAAAATATCAGCTATGTACTATTGCTCAATGTTACGCAATAACTTCATATACATATGAACCTATGTATATGCAATTCCAGGACCGGCCATTTTTAAAGATGGGAAGGTTAAAATATTTTTTCTATTCGGGTGGGGAAAGAGAGAGTGTCAGACTCTTACTGAATAAACACCACCCTGTTTCTTTGTGAGCTACGGGCCGCGGAGTCATTTTTTTATTGCACTCGCACCAATAACATTTTGTGTGCTCAATGAAAAAGGTATTTGAATCTTAAAATTTATAAAGAGGAAAAATTTGTAAGTTTGTATGTAGGGGGTAATCGTTGGAACCGCTAGTCGGATTACCAAAATTCTTTCACCTATAGATAGCTACGATGTTCCTGAGTGCTATAGGCTATTAAACATCAAACTACAATCAAATGGAGCCGAGCAGCGGGTGAAACCGCGCTAGAGAGCTAGTGTTTGAATAAAAGGTTCGATTTTGTAATACCTACCCTCTTTTATGAGCTAGCTCTGTTTTCTATTAATCATGCATCGTATGCTTAACAGAAAAGAGTCCTAACTCAAAAAGGTAAATCTTAAAATATAGGTTGCAAAAATAAGGTTCAATATTGAAATTCCGTCTTTTATGAGTTGGTTCTGTATTCAATTTGACATGTGATTTATTGAAGTAAGTACGCAAGTAATTTAACTAAAAAAAGGGCGGGAAACTGCGAACTGAATAGGCGTCTTTTTTCGGCTGCGAATTTTATTTCTTGAAATAAGGATCAGATAAGGAGTTTTGTGCATATATATTTTGCTTCTCTTTTATCTATATTTACGTATTATTTTATATAAAGTCCTCATCTCGGCGAGTTCTTGGTGAGTTAACTTAATAACATGAATGAGCCCCCTGACGATCCTGGTGGTGGATTAACGCCACTGGAGGTCCCTGAGGCCTCCAATTTTATTACATATCCTCCAAACTGTCCCCCTAGAGAAGAATCAGATGGCTCATTTTTTGACACAGATGCTTCTGAAAATACAAATACTTCCACACTTAAACGTAAACGAGTTTCAGTTAGGAAAATATGTAAGCAATGTAATAAGAAAAAGCGAAAGCACAGGAAAGTAGATGGTCCTGTACCTTCGAATGAATGTCAGTGTATTTTTGATGATGAAATGGCTGTGCCTACACAAAGTTTGGGTAATAACTTCACCCCTCCAGCTCCACTTCACAGCAGCACCCCACTGTTGAATGAGTCGAATGTATCTCAACGTGTCCAGCCTCCACCAACTGAACAGCCTAGTGCCCCGGTTGCTAGGCCTCGGTATGTTTCCACGGACCTGTCTCCATATGTTGTACATGTGATGAAGGAACAATCAACACCTAATGAAAATTGCACCATGCACCCAGTGTCATTTGGCTATTTTCTTAAAAAACATTGTTTCAGAAATGTAATAAACGGAAGTCTTAAAAGGGTAGGACGAAATAGGCTCTCAATTTCCTTTTCTAACTATGAAGATGCTAACAGTTTCCTTAATAATGACATTTTAAAACAGTATAATTACAAAACATTTATTCCAATATCCAATATTACTCGTATGGGTGTGATAAGAGGTGTCCCTGTCAGCTGGAGTGATGATGAAATCATTAAGAACATAAGTGTTCCTACTGGATGTGGTAGTGTGTTAAAGGTTAGGCGGTTAAAGAAAAAAACAACAGTTAATGGTAAATCAGAATTTACTCCAATTGAGACAGTCGTTGTAACTTTTGATGGACAGGTTTTGCCAAAAAGGATATTTTTGTGTTACAACTCTCTACCTGTTGATCTGTACATATATCCAACAATCCAATGCTTTAAGTGCTGTAGATACGGACACGTCAAAAGCCAATGTAGATCTTTGCCAAGGTGCTTTAAATGTGGTCACGGTCACACAGGAGATACCTGTGAAATTGATGAAGAAAATATTACTTGCTTCTTGTGTTCTGGTTTCCACATGGCAACCAGTAGAAAATGTCCAGAATATAACAGACAAAAGAGTATAAAAGAGACAATGGCAAAGAGCTGCATAACTTATTCTGAGGCTCTAAAATTACATCCCCCGATTTCTAAATCTTATGCCGATGTTTTAATGACTGTTAAACCTAATCAGCAAGACTCTCACAATTCTCACAATTTCAGTTACAATCTACCTAATCTGCAAAATAATACAACAACTCATTCTTATAAAAAAACCGTTTTCTTAAAACCAAAAACTATACATAGACCAAGTAAAGGTTATAACCGTAGTGAACATGAGACTTTGACAAGAGATTACAACACCCCATTTGCGCCTAGTAAAAGTATCTTGGTAAATAGCGATAATAATGTTCAATCTAATGATTCACTTGCAAACTTATCAATTAAAGATCTTCTTATCACACTCATAACCTCTTTATCTCACAACAATCTGTTGTCACCGTCCAACGTTGCCATATTAAAAAATGATGTTATGATGAATCCAAATAACGTTAATTATGGGAAAGAAGTCTCAAGTAATCCAATGGAATTGCAGGAGCATTAATAATAAGAAAAGCGACTTAATTTATTTGTTAAATTCTTTAGAGCCTTTTGTGGTGGCTCTACAGGAAACGTGGCTACGGCCTGAATATACTTTTAAAATATTTGGATATTTCTGTCTAAGAGAAGATAGATTCGACAACTACGCTGGTGTTGCCTTACTCATTAAAAATAATGTCCCTTTCTCTCGTATAAATTTTCCTGAACATAGTAATAAAATTGGCATTGTAGCAGCATCTATAAATAATATTTCATTTGTCTCCGTATATATTCCTGATCCATCCTCTTTAGTTTATGATGAGTTAGAAAGCTTATTAGCAAATATACCTAAACCGATACTGATAATGGGCGATTTCAATGCTCAGCATCAGTCATGGGGAAGCACTTATTCTAATCATTATGGCAGCAGGATTTTAGAATTTTTAGATAGAAATAATTTATGCTTACTTAACACTGGTAACTTTACTCGTCTCACTCGTCCCCATGAAGGGAAAAGTGTCCCTGATTTAACGATCTCCAGCGCTAGCCTATCCTCCCTGTTATCATGGGCAACCCTAACATCAACTTATGGAAGTGACCATTATCCTATAGTCGTAACTTTTCCTTCAGATAATAATGCAGTGAACATTCGATCCCCACGTCTCAAACATAATTTAAAGAATGCTGATTGGTTCCTTTTCAAAGAAAATGTGACAAAAAAGGTTTCATCTCTTCCACCAGTCGATAATAGTAATCAGATTGAGTGTGCGGAAGCTTTAGCCCGTGTTCTAGTAGAGGCAGCTGATGAGTCTTTTCCTACAAAAAAACACGGTTCTAATAAAATTCCATCTCCACCTTGGTGGGACAATGAATGTTCTGAGGCTATAAAAAAAAGAAAACAGGCTGAGAGAACCTACATTCTTCACTCTACTGAAGAAAACCTTGAAATCTTTTCTCGAATTTCTGCAGATACTAGGAAGCTGTTCAAGAAAAAAAAATGGGAAAGCTGGAGAAACTTCTGTTCTTCTTTATGTCCTGATACTCCCCCATCAGTCATCTGGGCCAATATAAGACGTTTCAGATCCGTTTATAAAGAACCGAAACCACCTTTCCTTCCCGAACAACTAACTGATGTCTTTTTAGATAAATTTGCCCCTGCTTTTGTCCCTCACAATTACACTGCTTTGTACAAATCTTTATCTGACGTAGAACATACTGGCCTCAATGCTCCTTTTAAGCTTACAGAACTTAAGGGAATCCTCTCTTACGTGAAAGATTCTGCCCCAGGTTTAGATGGCATTCCATACTCTTTCTTTTGTAATCTGCCTGATTCGTTTTTGTCTTACCATCTCGCACTGATCAATTCGATAATGTTTTCGGGTAGTATCCCTCCGTCGTGGAAAGTGCAAGAAGTTATACCTATTCTAAAACCAAACAAACCTTCATCAAACGTAGAATCATATCGTCCTATTGCTCTTTCTTCAGTTTTAATCAAAATTATGGAACATTTAGTAAAGAATAGACTTGAATGGTACATAGAAAGCAAAGGGTTAGTAAACAACAGTCAGTTCGGTTTTAGAAAAGGTAGAAGCACTTCAGATAGCATAGCTATTTTTACAACAGATATTAGACTAGCTTTTTCTGAAAATCACCACCTATTAGCCACATTCTTAGACATTTCTGCCGCGTACGACAACGTTATTTTATCAATTCTTATTGATAAATTACGCATTCTTAATGTGCCGCAAATTTTAATAAATTTCATTATAAATATCCTATCTGGACGAAGTATTCATGTCATAGACGAAAATTTGAATAAGAAATCAAGGGTGTTATGGAACGGCTTGCCACAAGGCTCTGTGTTATCGCCTCTTCTTTTTAACCTCTACTGTTATGATTTAGAAGCATCCTTAGGCAATCATATCAGTATTTTGCAGTATGCTGATGATCTTCTCATATATGCATCGGGAAATAATATAAACAGGTTGTGCGACATACTTACTACTTCTCTTACATCCTTAAAGTTATGGTTAGATGCTAATGGCATGTCCCTGTCGGTTCCAAAAAGCTCTGTAGTTCTTTTTTCCAGAATGAGATGCCCCCCGCCAATCTTTGTTTTTTATGATAATACCCTTATGCCTGCCAACAATGAAGCCAAATTTTTAGGTGTCATATTAGATTCTAAACTTACCGGACTATCCCACTGCTATTGTATTGTCAACAGATGCGAACGTTTGCTCAACATCTTAAGATGTTTATCTGGTGTATGGTGGGGCGCCCACCCCTTTAGTTTAAAGCTTCTGTATAATGCCATAATAAGAAGCATTCTTGATTATGGAACTCAATTCTTAGAACCGTGTAATGTTACTGGACTCCGAAAACTAGATGCTATCCAAGCAAAAGCTCTACGTATTGTGACGGGTGCCATGAAATCAAGCCCGATTAATGCATTGCAGGTGGAATGCGCAGATCCTCCCTTAAGACTCCGACGCCAATTTTTGAGCGATAAATTTTTGTTCCGAGCTCTCCAGTTAGCTAACCACCCTCTTTATTCTAAACTTTCTAACTTATCTGAATATGTTAATACTTCTCCATACTGGGCTCAAAAAAACCCGCCCTGTCTAGTACTCAGTTTTCGCAAATTCCTCTCACTTCAAGCTCCCACGCACCGATCAGCTTATCTCCCTATTTTCTCATCAGACTATGAGTCATTAGTTTTACCGTTGGATATCACTCTTGATATTGAGCTATCTAGAAATGACCCACACACTAACATCAAATTCAATTTTCTCGTCGACAGTCGCTGGCAGAATTGGCATCATTTGTATTCTGATGCTTCTAAACATCTGAGGAACGGACATGTAGGCATAGGTATTTTCCATAAGCAATATAAAATAATCCAGATGGTCAAATTTCCTCCTGAAACGTCAGTATTTACAGGAGAATGTTACGGTATCTTCAAATGTTTGGAATACATCCTTCTTCTAAAACTGAAAAAATCTGTTATTTTTTCTGATTCCAAAAGCGCCCTTCAAGCATTAGCCAAATATCCGTTCAAATCAAACAATTGTTATCCAATCATTCTTGACTGTAGAAAACTCTTAAACAGATGTATCTCCATGGGGTTACAAGTAGCCCTTGTTTGGATTCCTGGTCACGCTAATATCGCAGGGAATGTTAAAGCCGACCATGTTGCTAATGAGGCTGTGTGCAGTGGTGACATTTTTCCTTATAAAAATTACGCTCACGATTTAGCAGCCCTCCCTAAAACTTATTTGTACGATTCTTGGACGCAGGACTGGAACAGTAGTATTCAGGTCAAAGGGAAATTATACAAGCAGATTCAACCGAGTATTCCTGTTAAACCCTGGTTTTTTAAAATGAATTTTAACAAAGTTGTGACTTCTTGTCTTATACGAATGCGACTGGGACATGTTTGTACACCGGCTCACTTAGCAAAATTTGGTATTATTAATAGTGATATATGTGACTGTGGAGCTGATGCGGTAGGAGATTTGAACCACATTTTCTTTGCCTGCCAAAAATACAACTGCAGTTATTTCATTCATTGTTTATTATCTCTTAATGTTCCTATGCCTACTTCCATCCCCTGCCTCTTGTCTTATAATGATATTAATATATATAAATGTATGTCTATTTTTATTTCTAATAATAATATAAAATTATAAGATATTTATGTAACCCGTTTAATATATCCTGAAATCCTCTCTCTCTGATCCTGCAAAATTTTTCCCTATCCGGTTTCCTTTCATAATTAATACGTTTCCCTATCTTTACTTCGTAGTGGCAGATGCGCAAACCGTGCGAGCCAAAACACAAAAAAAAAAAAAAAAGTAATTTAACTCCACAAGTAACAGTGCAGTGAATATTTTTCAGTACAAACCCGTCATGTAGCCATCAATTTTGTAAAGAGGAAAAAACTGCAAATAAATTATTTCTAACTTTTAATTAGAACGGAGAATGTCAAGAAAATGGACCAGACCTGTCAATTTTGATATGTAAATATGGAATAACATTTTTTTACAGAAACTACACATCACCAGTCTATAAGTGTCAACTGCTGAGCATTAAATCACCCGGCTTACTCCAGCCAAATTGGAGATTTCAAACTTATAATTATAATTTTTTCAAGTCCAGGTTTCCTCACGATCGCGCACGCTGTTTTAGCAGCGGTAAGACCCCTCTTTGAGGAATGGCTTGAGAGCCGCCATGGCGTCCTCACCTTCCGCCTGACACGGGGCTTATCGGGGCTTATAGATTTTTCCAGAAGTTTTTCTAGGATTTGAATGTATTTATATAGGTATGTTACAATAATTTTGTAGAAATTACTCATTAAAAATAACTTTTACAAGTGTAGGTACGCTTGTATTTCATGTCAGTATAAAAACATCCGCCAATTACAACGAAAATCATATTTTAGCAAACTTAACACTTACTCATTGTGAGCCGAAATTTTCTCGGAAACGGCACCCATTTTAATTTATCGACATGCAGTTTATAATGCAGTGATTCAAGAGTATTCAGGTACAAAACAGATGAGTCAATACGTCATCAATCAATACCACTATCCAAAAAATATCTTCTTTTTTTAAAAAAATGTGTTTTGCGATAAAATGACATACCTACATTAAAAAAACATAATCTCGTTCTATTTACAAATAATTTGATCATAAGTTGAACGATACTCCTCTAATGAGGATTAGCTACCCTGATACTGATTTTTGAATTTTTCTACGCCGCGATTAAATCTAAATGTCCTATCCATCCTCTCTCTTGCCCAGGGTAGGCGAGAGAGTTAGACTCTTACTGACTAATAACCTTCTAGTTCCTTGACCTGCTCCAGGCCGCGGTATACTTATTATTGCGCTTGACCTACCACACTGGCTGGCTTTTTCTCAATCATTTGCCAACAATCAGCTCAGTTTTATCTATCAAATTAAAAAATGTAAGCAATTTATCCATTAGGTATTGAAATAAATACTTGAATTGATTTAAAAACAATAAGAGAACCCATTAACAAATACCTATGTCAGAGATCGTCACTCAAATTGAAAACGTAAGTGGCGCCCTAGAGAAAATGTTTATAAAGAGCCCCTTTTATTTCCCGCTGAACAAATAAATAAACATATCTTGATGTCTCTTCTGATCTTTTGTTTTTTTTTTTGTATGGGATGGGTTGGCAGACGAGCAGACGGATTACCTGATGATAAGCAATTGACGCCGCCCAGGGGCACTCGTAATACCAAAGGAGTTACTACAAGTGCGGTGCTGAGCTTTTGTAAGTATTAGAGATGTAAGGTGAAGAGATTTGGACATTTAGGTTGGAAGGAAACCTAAATGGAAATGGAAATGAATGGAATGGAAACCTAAAAGGATTGGGGCTCTGGTCACCTCATTCACACGGCGAAATACAACGTGTTGTTTCACGCTGGTACTCTCTGAGGCCGTGGTATCACTCTGGTCGAGCCAGTCCATCCGTGCCAAAGCATAGCTCTCTAACACTTTGTTACAGTATTATATTGAATCAACTAAAACTTGAATATGCACAAATTGTCTTAATAATATGTCGAATCATTAATTAGTCGAAACAAACATATTTTTGCCGCTTCTCCTTAAAAATCGAATAAATTACTCAACGAAAATGCATATTTTACGCATGAATTGATATGATTTATTGAATAATGCTATTTTACGATGTAGTTCAAATTTAAACTAAGAGCTCTTATTGTCTGCCAAATATTAAAGTGTCGATACATAAAAATATATTTATTGCAAAACTAGAATGTAGTTTAACAGTTAACATTTTTAAGCCCGTCTAGGCGCCGGGATTAATAAAAATAACTTTTAGTACACAGTACCTATATATCATATTTACATCACATTCTCGTCATTTCAAGGAATGAACACAAAATACTTATTCAAATTTAATTTCCGTTCTTACGTAAAGACATGTTGCCGAAGAATTTATACAGAAAACAGATGTTTTGACACATACTTAAAGCTCGAATGAACTAAATTGTAATTAATTCTACGATTAATGTTAAACGTAATTGTTTCTGATTATATTCACTTTTATTGGCGAATGTTAATAATTTGGCAAATAATGCAACCCAGTTAACGCAGCCAGTAAATATTACGAGCTGCGTATATTATGTACAGAAATAAACGCAGACGCGGCTCCCTATTTATGCCAGGTACTTACAATGAAACAAGTGACTGCTTTCTTAGCAGGCCTCGCTCGCGTCGAGCTCAACCCATCAATGTCATGGTGGAGTCCCCGCGACCCATTTCTACAGAAACCGCTCAGCCATCGGCCGTTCACCTAATGATCTCATCGCCCCAGAATAAAAATTCACTCGTTTAGACCAATTGACTTTTGTTTATGGAACGCTTTCTCAGGCGAAACTAGCCGCTCTACTTTTGTTTTGGTAACGTTCACGTCTGAAACCCTTCCGCGTGTGTATTATTTTGTGCGGGTTGGTAGCCGCTTAGTCCGATGCAGCTAAGTCAGGCGCGTGCGCTGAATAAATCCCACCCAAACTACATAATTTACATCAGGTATGTGCAGTCCTTTTGTGCATTCTTCGCTCTGGTGGTCCTCGTGTCCTCAGAAATGTATTGGGCCACCATACTTGATGTTCATATTGTATTGCTAACGGCTTTCTTCAACTGCGATCTAATTAGCTGTAGAAAAACATGTTAATTTTATTCTGACACAGCTAACAGAATTTCTCATATTTTAAACTACATCATGTGATTACTTCAAAGTCTATTGCATGGCAATAATTCACGATATTTTTCACAACATCAAAACATTTGGAAAAACTCATTTAATCGGATTTTCCCATGTTCTAATGTTTAAATTATTACTATGAGCAAAACGATGGCTATGATTTTGACAGGCTATGTATGTGTGTATCTAATATCTATGTTCATCTATTCCCTCGTAACTTCTATAAACTACTTATCAGCATTCGACAAATGACATTATCATTACAAACGTCTTAATTGTCCGCTGGTTATAGGCTATATGGGGTATCACAAAATCTAATGTGGCGTCCTCTAGAAGGGCTTGGTTTTACTTGTATACTTAAAAACTAAGAACAAAAAATAAGTAAAATCTACGCTTAAATGCTGAAATACAAAACATACCTAATTCATTTTCTTGAAGAGAATTCCTAAGCTCAATCATTTTGCACTAAGGTCTATCAGACCAATTACATGTCTGTATATGGTTAGGTATTCAATAATTTCTTGTCCACGACCTAACACGAGGCGTTAACATCGGCGCCTTTCATCATACTTTACACCACTTAATATGGACTGCGTGGGCCAGAATTCAACGCGTTGCCAAAAGTTTTCAACGCGCCATTGTTTCTCCTGATAACAATGAACGAATTAATTTTGATAGTCCCATTTTCTCGCATGAAATATATACATTTCGATAATCGATGACAGTAACATAGTTTTAAACCTTAGGTATTGCAATTTTTTGATATATTGTATTGAGTTGATTCGAAATTAATCTAAGCATATTTTGTGAACTAATTTTCTACGTTTTATTCCATTTATAATGAAGCAACTGCTCTGTTTAAGAAGCTTAAGACAAAAAAAATGCTATGGGCTTTTTAATATTTGCGAGGTCTATATCTCTCAAGAGAATGTGAAGCGTCGAAGTTCATTAAAAACTCGATGTAATGAGCGCAGTGCAACAATGAGCGCCCCGCAGTCTGCTAGATGGGTTTACCAATTATTACCCAAGTTCGTAGACACATTCAAACACCTTATGTACATAGAGTAGTCTGTCAAAACAGAACCGCCTTAGGCTTTTAGCAGATTGTAAAATTACATACATGAGTAGGTGTTAGCCTGTACCCGCAGACAATTTTAACATACTCGCGTGTTCTGTTCTTTCAACACTCTAATTACAGGTATTAATTAGGATAATTGTTCTAATTAGACTTGGCCAGTGATATCATGAGGTTCACACTTCATTTTAAAGGAGAACAATACTTTCGAGTTTTATTGCTTAATATTTCAAGGTATCTACTCTCTCAAAGAGCCAATAGACCACCGCAGACGGGGCCCCATAGCTCGGCCTACAGCAGGAGAAGGAACAGGGGGTTTTTAGTCAGTAAGAGTCTGACACTCCCTCCCGTCCGGCCCTGGGCGGGAGAAGTCATTTGATGATTTTCCCCTCACAAAAAAAATATCTACTCTAAATCAAAAAGTTAGGTTATGTTTGGGAAGTTCCCGTTGAAACATAAGATGCGTCATTTACTCAAGCTAACTTATATATTGTAAATAACATTTTTCTCGAAAGATCCAATATCTATCCTTATCTTCCATTTTTCCTTATAAAATGATTAACAACGAGAAAGAAGTGCACATTGACTCCACTACATCCATTAAACAGTTCATCATTCAATACCCCATTTACATCATCAAAATCAAAGTCTGTGACTATAAATAAAGTCATGAATCATTATAATACTTCCGCATAAAGATTCTCATGGTATGGTAGAACGAAATGCCGTCTGATAGTATGAAGCTGAACAAATACTCTTTTTTCTTTTATACAAATCATATCGTGATGTCACTAAGTTCAAACTGTATGGGAGACTGTTAACTGAAGACGATTAATCTGTCTGTAGGCCGTCCGTCATTGACCCAATACTTGGAAGTGTTCATGTTAATACATACTGACATTGTAGTACATTACTGTATTTACTTACAGGAGAACATTTGCAATGAAAATTAACCTTCGCCTTGTACTACAAGCCTGGAAACTATGTACTCTTGTACATATTCCGAATAAACGTGTTTGTGGAAACTTTGTTGTGAATTTTCGTATTTACGTTTGTGGCACGCACCGCACGCACCGCGCCGGTCGGCGCAGGCGCGTGTTACTCACTTGTCTTAGATAAACTTTTGCGTTTACTTTTTGCTGTCAATAATCGATTTCTGTATTGTTGACGGACACTTTTTATATGTATACATCATACGATACAACCAATACGTAATACATAAGTGTGGCAGAGCCATGCTTCGACACGAATGGGTCGGCTCGACCGAAGTGATGCCACGCCTCACAGAAACCCGGCGTGAAACAATCTTCGTTGTGTTTCGCCGTGTGAGTGACGGTACCGAAGGCCCATTTTGTACCCCTCTCCCCATTTCTCCCTAATCCTTAAATATACGACCCTAAAAGGCCGGCAACGCGCTCGTAACTCCTTTGGTGTCCATGGGCGGCGCCGATTGCTTACCATCAGCTAATCGGTCTGCTCGTTTGCCGACCTATGGCATAAAAAAACATTATGGTCACCAAGTGTATAAGTAATAATTTGCTTCGAGCTAAGCGTTAACGTAAACTGACAAAGCTCACTCCTGTATATATTTTTTTACAATGAGAACCTCCTCCTTTTTTTGAAGTCGGTTAAAAAGGAGGTTGGTAGCAATACTGATTTTAGATATTTCGCAACCAAAAACCATAAAAAAATATAATCGAATTGAAGCTTCTTGAAAGATTCAAATTATAAGGTCGTATCGAATCACCGTATATAAATAAATCAAAGCGATTACTCGATACGACCGAAATCGATTAAAGATGAACCAAGGCAAGTTGTAACTATTGATTTAAGTTGTAATCGGTGGCAAATTGCTGTAACGTTAAGGTCATTGCCTGCTTACCCACTCGCGATAAAGATTGAACTTCAGAGAAAGCTTTGTGGCTTTTGTGAAAGGGTAATTGCAGTGCCTCATGAAAATTCCACACCGCAATTATTTTCATATTTGGAAGTAATTGAGATTTGAACTTTGAATAAAGAAATAATCGAAGGAGTTCGTTTTTTCCGTACATTTGAAATTGTATTGTGGGAAAGAGAAGTCTTAATGAGTAATTGTTTTGTTATACAAAGATGTAAGGCATTATATCCAACAATTTGTATATCGTTTCCTTTATATCGAATGTAAAGACTTTGTTAAGTGTGCATTTTATTGGTCCCTCTCTTAAACTAATTTTATAGAATCAGGCGTTACTTTGCGGAAATCCATGACATTAAATGTTAGGAAAAATATTTAGTTTTAATTCCGCGACAAAAATCCATTGATTCCAATCCTCAGATTGCATAAGAGTGGGATTGCATCCTGCAACAAGCCTGGATTTTTGTCGCGGAATTAAAACTAAATATTTTTCCTAACATTTAAAACCCTCTCTTAAACGCTTACAAAAAAGTAACCTTTCCTATAACACCAAATCAAACTTGCTATTCTTTATTTACACAAACTTCTATTGTTCCACTTCTTTTAACAAAGCCACTGTTTATGGAACAGTTCCCATCTAGACATCTCATTATTATTTCTTCTCCCTAACATGTGGAGGAAATTTGATGTTTTCATAAACAGAATCCAGAAACGCAACATGACTCACTTCTAAAATGCTAGGAAATGGACGACACAAATATTAACTAAAGCTTTACATTTTGCAAAATAGCATCCAAACACAAGCTTAGAGTTCGAAGAAAAGTTCAACGAAGATAAAGGAAAACATTAAGAGTACCTACAAGTTCTTTTAAAGATGTTATTACGTGTCTAAATGATTGGAAACAGATTGTTTAGTGTGGTGAAAACAATGAACTATGTTCTTCCTGCAAGTTCAAGTATAACGGCAATGCGCTGTTGACCGTTCTCAGCTGAATACAGCATCTACGTAAACGATGTCTTTACATAATAAACGCCTATTTTGTCCAGAAGGTCAAGCCTTACAGTTCAGAGAACAGATGGAAAATGTTTTACTAGCATTGAAACTTAAACAAGATGCACTGTTTAACTTTTCTTAGAAATCAAATGAATGTTCGTTCATGATGTACTACTAGCAGCGATATCGGAGTTTTGATCATCGTGCGCTTTGATTCAATATTCAATGTACTGAACTGTTTATGTTAAAGTATCGTGTTTTTACAAATAAATAACAACAATTTAGTAGGAATTCTCGATTGTATTTTCGTAATAGAATATGGTTTCTTTGTCTTGATTTTTTTAATCAAACATGTGTCCCAAAACAGATAAGACTATGTTAATTTTTGTTCCCAAAAACTGGTATCCGCTAGTTTTTTATCCACCCCATATATGTAGTTACATTATGTTAGATTGCAGTAGACGTAGGTACTTCTGAATATATTTGCAAATTCAAATAAATCGAACACAACCTAGCAATCAAGTTACAATCTATTACAAACAAGTATAGCTTGTTGACAATTTAGTTCTTAATTTAAACCGACAAATTACCAACAGTTAACGCTTGAGTAATTACAGGATACCAACCTCC